AAGTTATTCGGTGTGTAAAAAAATTTCATATTAAAATCGAAAAACTTACTTATAAGTTATCTGATGTGTTGAAATATTGAATCATGTTTCTTTTCTTCTTATTCTCCGGTATATTGTTGAATTAGATATCTTAGATTTGTGTTCTCCGATTTACAACTGCTATCGCTTCTTCATAAATGAGTTTTTTTTGAATGTTTTAAGTATTTATACATAAGTATTTTAATCCAAAATCATATATGTAGATAGGGCTGTGCATGGTTACCATATATTGTTATCCAATCCACTTCTATGGTTATGGTTTGTAAACCAAACCATTAATTACAAAAACCAATTTGAAAGACATAATTGATTCTAAACCGGATTAAAACCGATTTGAAACCAGTTTTAATTTTAATCCAAATTATTTAAATATAATTTAATTTATATTCAATTCATTTTAATTAATACAATTTTAAAACTAATTTAGTACTAATTTTTTTAAACATTAACAAAGCACATCTTTAATTTAATTTTAAGCAGATTTTAAAAAATAATCGCGCTCGCGTTGCAGTTTTTGCAATTTTGGTCGATAGAGGTGTCACGTCATTGATTGTGTTCGTCGCGGTGTAAATTATTAATCATAATTTATTTTTTAATATAAAATGGATATAACAGTATCTGTATCGACGTCTGTCCAAAACGTTTTGTCGCGGCCGTTCTCATGGTCACATACCGTTTTTTTAAAACATTTTTATGTTTAAATGATCCTTTTTGTTTTATCAATCCTAAAAGAAAAATCAATTAATATTGAGATAGTATTAATTAATTCACTTTGCACATTCGTTTTCTTTTATACAATATATGTATATATTGAATGAAAAGGAATCAAGTTCAAATAAATTTCTTTCAAATTTAAATTTGTCTTCTACAGTAATAATAATATATCTTGCTTTTTCAATGTTTAGTCTACTGTATCTTTCAATTTATTTGAGAGTGTTTGCATATTTTTTAACTATAATTAAACATTTTTATATTTATTCAATAATTAGTCATTTGAAATAAAAGATTAAACATCATTCAATTTTTATGAAAATGTGTAGAATTTATTTTCTTGAGAAAGTGTGAAAAATGAAAAGCAGAAAAATTTGATGAGAAAGAAATCTGGATACACAATAACCATTTTATGGGTACTGGTTTACCACTTTGACCATAAATGGACCACCAAATCCAGTATTTAATATTTGGATTGGGTTTTAAAAAATGAAACAATTTGAATATGAATTTGGTTATCAGTAACCAATTTTTTTGCACACCCCTATATGTAGAGCTAGATGAATAAATGATGGGATATGGGATATAATTTTCAACTTCATGTTTGAAACTGGCCCAATTTGATTTTTTGAACTAGACGTCGGTCGAGCCAAGCCAAATTTTGGTTTGTTATATGCTCCTAAGTACAAGTTAGTGAGTTGAAATAAATAAATAAAAATTGACAAATATTATTCTGAGATTCAATAATATATCATGTCACACGCCTCACCCATTTTTATCCATATCACGAGAAATTTACTTGAAAACACAAAACCTATGTGCAAAAAGGGACATATATACCATTCATGTATACAATTATGTTTCAACACTAATTAAGAAGCATATTCTTAAGCGCTACCTATGGTTATTCCAATATGCAAAACACAAAAAAAAAAAACACTGTTTCTTTATTCCGTAATCTACCCTGGCATTGTCTGGCAACACTTTACAGTGCATGCAAGATAGCCAGCAATTCACCACTCAAACATGAACAAACACATGCAATGCAATATTTTAACTCTGCCTGCTTCCCCACCATCAATTAGTCGTGACAACATGTCCGTTACTCATGTGGGCCATTTCTCAATTCAATCATGAAAATAAACTAATATCTTTTTTTTCTTCTTCACGTTATTTATACTTAATGTCGGTCACTTTCTTCATGTGTTCTCTTCATTAATATTATTATAGAATTTCAATTTTATTAGCTTGATATTTAGATATTTTAGTTTTACAATTTATTTATTTAATTCTTTATTATTATACGATTATCTTGTATTACAATTACAATTTTTTAGATCGGATTTGAATGCAGACTTAACATAAGTTGCTTCAGTTTAAGGCATTCGTGGGACAGAATCAAGTTGAATTAATTTAAATAAATTAGATAATCAGATCGACTCAAGTTTAATATATTTCATTTTCAATTAATACTTTTACGAACATAGACATAACATTTAAGTCGTGTAAATAGTCATGAATGGTCTGTCTCAGACAAAGAAGCATGAGACTTGATTTTCATTAACTACTCTCTTACGTACAAGAAAACACATGTCTTAATGGGCAATTAACAGACTTTATAGAGATGAAGCAAACTAAGACCACTATATAAATGATACAATTATAGAGAGAAGGACATATAATTTTCATACGATTTATACTCAAAATGACATTTGAGACCCCGATTGGCCTATGACCAATAGAGTTATCAACTAGTGTATCAAGCGTAAACATTTGACACCCACCGTGTAGATCAGTAAAACTATTGCATGCCATATAACCATATAGAACCATCAACTCCTCATCGTCCCTTTATGGTAAAGGTGACCCTAGTCACCACAAATGGTGAGTGAGCTTCCATTGTGGAGATGCTCACCGCTATGGAGGAACTACATCGCCAAAATGAGACATTACAAGACAATATGACAGATCTATGACAATAGCTGCTGTAATCGGTTGTCAATGATTATGAAGACCTTATGGATCCTCAATCTTTAGCAGCATAAATTTAGGATGCACAGGTCCCGAACAACCTCAAACCTCCCTCCTTAATGATGTTTGATGACAAAAGTGATTCCCAAGAGCACATCATTCTTATCAACACTCAACTGACCATTATTGCTGCAGATAACTATCAAATACAAACTAATAGTTGGAACATTGAAGTAAGTAGCCATCTGATGGTATATGAGCCTCCCAAGGTTCTCCAAAATAAACACCACGACCTGGAAAAAAAAGATAATCCATCAATTATCAAGTAAGAAACATATGAAGGTCTCTATCACGAGCCATTTTAAATTTGCCAAGGATATACAGAGTCCTTAACATTATATTTGGCGCGTTTTAACGAAGAAACCATCAAGGTTCCCTATCTGAACTAAGAGATATACATGGGGGATTTTTATAATGGCTTAAAAGCGGGACACTTCAATGATTTTCTGGCCTAAAATTCAAAGTATTTAATGGAGAAGATCATGGTTAAGGTGGAATTCTACATCAAAGGAGAAGAAAGTAATGTGGAGAAAAGAACTAGAGACATAGAGGAGTGAAGTGGTAAACTAGAGCAACCTAAACACTGAAAAAATAAAACTATGTCGGTCAGCAAGAAAGTCACTTTAAAGCCTTCCCGGAAGCCCCTTGAATGCTTTAGTTCTCTAAATATTTGGAGAGAGAGGATCGTACAAGACATGTACAATGGAAAGATCATTCCTAAGCCTGATGCTCCTAAGAGAGATTCCATGGGAAATTATCCAAATAAATGGTGCAACTACCATAGGATACAAGATCATCATACGATGATAGTCATCATCTAAATGAGAGATTGAAAAGTTGTTTCAAGGAGGTTGCTTACATGTATGTGCAAAGAAATACTCAAAATTTATAGAGAATGGCCTCTCCACCAAGAGAAGCTAGACAAATAACTCCTAAACCTTGAAGAAGTTTGAGTATTGAGGAAGGACATGAGCCCGATAGGCAACACCATGCTTTAACCTTAATTTTTAGAGGCTTTGTGGTAAGAAGAGAATCCAAGTCATCCAAGAAAAAGTATGTTAAACAGGAGACACATATCACCAGAGCACCATATTTAGAAAAATCCACCCCAACACCAGAAATCATTTTTTCCAACAGGGACACTGAAGGGATCACCCCCCGCGAAGATGATCCCATGATAATTTACCTCCAAATTGATGTCTGGAATGTCAAAAGAGTCTTGGTGAATCCCAACAGTTTTACTGAAGTTCTCTATTAGGTTATTTTTGAAGGATTGGAGATAATATATGAGCTTCTCCAACCTTTCATAGGCTCCTTAGTCATATTCTCGAAAGAACATGTGCATGTTTTGGGATAAGCCACCATTCGAATTACCTTTGGAAAAATGGGAAGCGCAAAAAAGTGTAAAAGTAGGATATATGATGGTTAACACTTTGTGTCCATGTAATATCATCTACCAATCGACTTTCAACACTCTAAAGGTCGCACTATCTACTATATACATGACTATGAAGTACCTATTAAGAAATATGCAAGTTGGGGTGATAAAGGAAGGTCAACAACTGGCGAGAAGATGTTACATGTATAACCTGCAGACAAATAAAATGGGAAATGAAGAGCATGTGTGTTTATCCAACTCACACAAAATCAATCACACAGATTCATATCTAAGGACTGAACGCTTATAGGACAAGATGACACCTACAAAAAAACTAAAGACCATTCAAATAGGCCCTAAAAACCATCAGACTATGTAGGTTGGAACTACATTATTAGAAGAAGAAGCCAAAATTTTGCAACTTCTACAAGAAAATATGGATATGTTTGCATGGGCACTGACTGATATGTCTGGAATATATCTGAATACAATATGTCATCATTTATCCATTAAGCTTGGGTCGTGAGATTACATCAAAATTAATGATACTCTTTTCTCATAGTGTACTCGTCAGTGGTCAAACTCAACGACCACATCACTTAGAAATACAACATAATTAAAAAATTACAACATCGTCAACATGTAGAGATTTATTCACCCAATATCACAAGATCATCCTTCTTCATGTAGAGAGTTACCTTTATAACATCATCACCAACGTACACCATCTCGGGAGTTCTTGAATAACATCACCTTTAATATATAATCTTTACTTTAACTCTTCATTTTTGACCTTGGATAACTACTCCACCACAACCATCACAATTTTTAATATAAGGTCTCAATATGGTTGACCATCATTATTGTCACCCGTATTGATCCATTCCTCATCAGTTGCAACATCAATTACACTGACATCCACATCTGTTTCATATTTATCACTAGCCTCAATGACTGTGTCATTCTTGAATACTTTGATCAAACCCACCTCTGAGACGTCAACCTTCAGAGCAACCAATTTAACTTGGGAGACGTTATCAGTGAGAATATTGAAGATTATTTCCATCTTAGGAAAGCTCAAACATGATGGAGGCGTCACATACTAGCATAAACGAATGAGGAGAGAATATATGAAATCACGTGGGCACTAGGGCGGTTAACATTAACCTCGTCTCTTTCAATCACATCTTCAACACTGATAAGGCGATATAGGTATCAAGAACCAAGAAGATGCATTTTCTTTATAAAGGCAACAAAAGAGGAAGACGACTCAGGTGAGGGAGAAAGAAATCCTTACATGCTTCTTGAGACCTTCCAAAACTTTGGAAGTATCCACCAGAGCAACAAATTTATTCATGTTCATCCTAGGAGTCATCTTATTTGCAAATCAACAACATTAGTCAATTTATATTCTAGATCATAATATAATACAAGCATATCAAAAATAGTTACTGAAGTATTTCTTCAAATAATGATGATCATGTTTATATTTCAAGATGGAACTATAGCTCACATGTGACATCTAAAATGTATTTTAATATAACAACAAATAACAAGGCGTGTCATGCAAAAAATTGTCCACTAACTACAATTCATTAATAATTAGAAAGATTCATGTTCATTCATTACAATTAGAGGGTGTCACTCAAAACTAGAAGATCCCACATTCTTAATTGTATTTTAAAAAGTATCAAACCTGTCATGAAAACCATCCCACTATAATGATGCACAAAAGTGACATGGCATGGATCACAAGCGTATGCGAGACATTATGCTAACTTACTTATTAGACTCCTATCATAAGTAATGGTCTACGGATTCATGTAATGGTATGTGCCTAATTATTCCAATTTAAAATATGTCATGGAACACCCATTAATGAAGCCAACAATTCATAATGCATGACATGTGATGATAGTCATCATTACATGATTTTAATAGAAAATTTTCATAGAATAGAAGGAATAGTGGACAAAGGTCAAGCTAAAATGTGGAAGAATCGAACAAAATTTCAAAAGAATGAAGAAAGTGAACAAATTCTAATGAAAAAGATGAAAAAAATACTTTTGCTTCTAGTTTTCACGCGTACTCGATGCATCTCATCATGGCGCAATGAAAGGCTCATCGTGGCATGAAGTATCCCATCATGGTGCAATTAAGCGACAAATTCTAACATGTTTTGCAGTTTTAAATAGAGAATGTTTTCTACTTTTTGAGGGTTCTGAATTTCAGAGAGAATGTGATGGCTGAAGATTATCAAAGTGACAATTTTGAGGGTTTTGAAACCCATTGACGACATCATTCTTCATTAGATTATGTTTTCTTGAGGGAAAATACTAATTTTGGTCCCTTAACTATACCCTTGGATTTAGATTGGCCCCTTAATTATTTTTCATGTAACTTTGGTCCATTAACTTTCAAAATGTTTCATTTGAGTCTTTTTTGTCTAATTAGCGACGGAAAAACTTTGAAATCGGTCTATTGTACCTCGAAATTTGCTCTCTCTTTTCTCTAGACATTTCACAAAGGACCTCCAACGCTCAAGGATTCTCAAGAAATTGATCAGACAAAATCACCTCTGAAACACTGAGACTGCAAGCTAGGGTTTTGACTAAGAATGACTGATCATTGACTTTTGACCTAATACATGACCCAATGGTTTGAATCATAATCTCGAAGACTCAAATATAACATGTTGACCAAATTTCATGGCTTAAATCATTTCTCAAGATCAGCGGATTGATAGTTGAAATTTGGTCAACTGAAAAGTCAACTGATACACCAAAAGTCAAACTTTGACTTTTCGATCGAAATTTGATTTCAAAGATCACAATTCATTAAGACATTCAAAATACAAAGTTTGATCATCAAGAAGTCAAGAAAGTCAAAAGTCAATGTGAAAAGTCAAACTTTTCAAGACTTATAAATTTTTCTAAGTGTTTTTATACATGATAATTTCATTACTTCATGCCATTCTTTCACCAAGATGCAAGATGATTCAAAGAAAACTTTTAACATGAAAGTTGTAGATCTTGATGATATCTATAACTTTTATTTGCTGATAAAGACTTAGAAGTGCTTGGATTTTGAGTTATAAATTCATGAAGTCATGACATTTTTGTATAAACACTTAGAAATTTTCAGCAGGTTTGGTCAGGTTTTTATCCCAACTTCTTGGCCAATTTTAATCAAGTTCCAATTGGATTCTTCAAAAATAGAAAATACGAAGGTTGTAGAGGATGTTACAAGCTTTCTAAAATGGCAAATAACTCATTGAGATCATACTTGAGTTAAGAGAATCAAAGCCATGATGTTAGGGTGTCATTCTTAAATTACAAGGCATATTTTGTGATGAACAAGAACCAAATCCATAGCCATGCTGTATAATATTCACTTTGCAGGCCTCAAACTTGTATATCACTCCTTAATTAATTGCTTACACAACTGATTAAACTATGATCCAAGTGTTTGAGCCTTTGTCCAATTGATCATTCTATTTTTGGAAGAAAGTAACATATCCATTCTTGAAAAGTTCACTTTAATCACAAAGTTAATTTCTTGAGTCTCTAATTTGTTGTTCTGATCACACTCCACTCCTACAAGTCAGAACAAACATGTTTAAAGTTATCAACCACTTTAGATAGCTTGGTACAAACATTGGAAACATGTTCTTCATGCTTGCTTCAAAAACAAGCAAGATGGTCATAACATGTGATTTCAAAAATCTGAGTTGTTTCAAGTCTCAAACATTCTCTATAAATAGAGAGGCCATTTTGCAAGATAAAGGCCAAAAGTTTTGTTGTGTAGACAAGCCCTCAAAATATCATACTCTCAAAAAGCCATAACTGTCCACAAAGCTTCCACTCTTGAGTTTTGAAGTCCAAATCTTTGAACCTCTCACACCTTGCAAGTTCTGTCCAAATAAACCATTCACATACTTCATATACCTCATATAGAAGTTGTTCAAACACAAGAACAACTTCTGTCACATCACTATTACCATTTCCCAAGCTAAAAAACAGTCGACACAGCAGTTCAAAACTCAAAACATAAATTTCAGCTTCAAGGTATGTTTTCTTGACCTTGAACTTTTCATTTCAAACATCATTAGTAATTCATTGTTGAAGATAGATGTAGTAACTATTGCCTTTTGAAGCTAACCATTTTCTTGCTTTTCATTCTTGTCAATACTGTGTTAAGAGCTAACCTATACACACAATAGAACAATGTTCAAGGTAAAAAACTGCAGCATGAGTCGACACATACTCACATGAGTCGACACATTTTAGTTACATAACCAGACATGAGTCGGCACAAGACATTATGAGTCGATACATACTGTTATCCAGACCCAAAAACAGAAAGACCAAAGGTGTATGAGTCGACACAAAACACGAATGTGTCGACACAAACAAGAAATGAGTCGACACATACCCTTATGTATCGACTCATACTGCACTGATTTTGGTTTTACAGGAACAAGAAAGATTATGTGTCGATGCAAAGATGCATGTGTCGACACATAATGGTTAAAAAATATATTTTTCCTTTCTTTTACATTGTTTCTATATTTTCTATATATTTCATTCAATATTCAATATGGTTGTAATAGATAATTAGAACATTTATTGCTTTTCACCCCGCATTGGTAAATTTGCATACCCCATCCCCAAATGATGTAATAGCGTAGGACATTTATTTTCCGTAATTTATCGCTTTTATATAAAATACTAGTAATTAGGGTTTGTATGGAAAGATAAAAACTCAATACTTAGACAACCCTAATTCAAGAACAAAAATGCATGGAAAATAAACACTTTGCACACTTACACCTCTAGGATAACTCACACTTGTTGCCTCAAATAAATATAGTCACGTCCCTCGAACGTGAGATACTTTAGCAATGACCCTCGAATTCAAGATCGTAGTTCCTCGATGACCCTTCAATGTTGCCTCCGGTAAACGATCTTAGACCCTTACGACAAATTGCTAAGGTATCCTACAATGTTGCCTTCTATGACTATACAATGACCCACGTCCGTCCCTTCACATCCAATGATAAGGCTTCCTATCAATGGTAAGATATCAATATCTAAAGGAGGAGGAACAAGAACTAAGATTTTTTGAGTAGGTAGAACGCTCGTAGTTGCTTGCTCACAACATTTCAAAACATCTTTCAAAAATACCAACACTTTTCCATGAAATATTTTCAAAAGTCAACACTTTGTATGCATTCTTATAGAGACGAGAATCATTACAAAGTTCGCCTAAACGAAGACACTTTCAAAAATACATTAAAAAACATCACAAACACATTTCAAATAAAGCATTTCAAAGTGAGCTAGCAACTAAGAGCCCGTAGATAACTACAGATGAAAATGGTGCTAACACTTTCCATGTTCATAACCTACCCCCAGAACTCAAGAAAATTCTCAAAAGGTTTTTCCTGTTCTTTTCACCCTTTCCTTTATTGAATAAAAGAAAAGTCGGTGGCGACTCTTGCTATCCGTAACAATTGCGATAAAACGCAAAACACCAAAGTCAGTTCTCTCACCGTATTACACGGTCGCTAAATCCGTCTCTAATTAGACAAAAAGGACTAAAATGGTTGTTTGATGTTAATTGAATTATTTTGTGTTATTGTTATTATTTAATTGTCCTTGCGTTCATGAGTTTTTATGTATAGATGAATGCGTGAATTGATATTAGATGAATAGGAATTTATGACTGTTAGTCCATCAATCCGATCTAAAAATACGTCATCATAAAATTTTGAAAACTTTTTTTCTTCTAAAAATACAATTATCTGAAAATCAACAAAAAATTATAATTTTTTTCCTAAAATTATAAAAACATTTAATAAAATAAACTTTTTCATTTGGAAAAAGAATTTTATTTTGGAAAAAAGTTTATTCTTTTTTTGAAAATAAAAATATTTTTTTTTTATTTAGGAAAAACTAACTTTTAAATTTTTTTCAAAATAAAAAAATTGTTTTTTTACATTTTTTTATTTTCATGTAAACAATTTTACAATTAGAACTACATCACTCAATCTTATTATATCATTAACTTAAAAATTATAATCTAATTTGTCAGAATACATAATCGTAATTGATTATCAGTGTAAATTAATCTACAATATCAAAGTATATCATAATTTCTCATTTAAAAATAAACTTGTGAAATCTCTAAAAAAGAAAAATATCTTGAAAATATAATTTTCTTTTAAATTTTTAAAAAATTGATTTAAAAAAAAATAAAAATTAATTTTTTTTTATAAATACAAACCGATTATAAGAGTCAATTAATTATTATTATTAAAATGGTTATAGAAAATTAAACCAAACCATTAAAGTTATTTCCTTCCATGAAGTTAACAATAATGATTAACCCCCGTAATCTGATCCCAATATCACAGATTCGTGATTCCGTAGCTGTAGAAAACCCAAGGTCCCACCAAGTTAATAAAAATCCAAACTCACCGACCCGTTTGATATACGCGTTTACGGTCATCAAACTTTCTTCAGAGTAGTACACCAAACAAAACCCGCTCCTTAAGTTCAAACGGGCCAAAACAAAACCCACGAGATTTTCATTTTTCCATTTCCATTACCATTAATTTCTCAAATCACGCTTAATCTTCGAGTATATATATAGTAACGTTACCAGTCACAGAGCCGAAGCAGACATAAACACAAACACCTTCCGCATCTCATTCAATCTCTTCCCTACAATGGCTTCATCCTCCAAGCCAACCCCTCTGTTGAAAGACGAACTCGACATCGTCATCCCCACGATCCGGAACCTTGATTTTCTGGAGATGTGGAGACCCTTTTTTGAACAGTATCATCTCATCATTGTTCAAGACGGGGACCCGTCTAAGGTTATCAAGGTTCCTGAAGGTTTTGATTATGAGCTGTATAATCGGAATGATATTAATAGGATCTTGGGTCCTAAGGCGAGTTGCATCTCCTTCAAGGATTCTGCTTGTCGTTGCTTTGGGTATATGGTTTCTAAGAAGAAGTATATCTACACCATTGATGATGATTGCTTTGTAAGTCTTGATTTTGTTTGGTTTTGTTTTTCTTGGATCGAAAACTTTATATGTTTGACTTGAAATTGAAATTGATTTGACTTGATTTTTTTTGGGGTTTTTAGGGGTTTTAGAGCTAGATCTGGGTTATTGTTAAGAGAGAATTGTAGTATTCTTTGGGTCTTTGGGTTGTTGAGTTTCGGTTTGTATGGTATGGATAGTTTAAAGGTTGATTTGAATTTTGAATTGAGTGTGTTTGTTTGGATTTGGAATGACTAACTTCATGAATTGATTTTGTTTCGCTTGATTTTGTTTGGGAATTTTGAAAATATGAGAAAGAGTTTGGCTTTGGAAATTGTTCGTCATTTTGATTGAATTTGATTTGATTTGATTTGATTTTAGTTTTGATCGTTTGGATTAACAGCATTGAGTCCAGTTCTAGGCAGATGTTAGTATTTTAAAATGAGAATTGATATCCAGGAATTGAATCTGAGTTGAATTGAGTTCTAATGATTTCAAACACAATTGGATCTATTCATATTGGTAGCATTCATTTGGGTCCTGTTTTTCATTACCTTTTCCGGAATGATTGAGGCAAATAATGTGAACAAATCTTGTAACAGAATGATTTTCTGTAAAACTTTTGCTTTTGCTTTTCGGAGCTTTTTATTTGACAGAAGGATTTCCACTCATATTAAAAGTGAATTTTCTTATTGTTTTTCCCATTTTCAACTAACATTGAAATATTGACTTTTACATGTTCTCTGTAGCATTTACACTTCCGATGGAAGTGTGTCTGATCTCCAACCGATTCATGTGAATTCTTTTTCTCAATTTATTGCCGTGTTATGTTTGGTGTCAGTGTTTTGTATTATTTATTTATTTCTGTGAGTAGGTTCTTTGATATCTGTGATACTAATAACAGCATGTTGATTCTTCTAAGACTAATTTCACAAATGGTACTGTTTTATAGTACTATACATGATTCCTCAATGTTTTCTATGTCACTGTGCAGGTTGCCAAAGACCCAACTGGCCATGAAATCAATGCACTTGAGCAGCACATTAAGAATCTCCTTAGTCCATCCACTCCATTTTTCTTCAACACCCTTTATGATCCATACAGAGAAGGTACTGATTTCGTCCGTGGATACCCTTTCAGTCTTCGTGAAGGTGTCCCCACTGCCGTTTCTCACGGCCTTTGGCTCAACATACCTGATTATGATGCTCCAACACAGCTTGTCAAGCCCCATGAGAGGAACACTAGGTTTGTAGTTAGCTTTTTCATTGTTATTAATTGATATTATATGCTTTTGTTTATGGACATTTGCTTAGTTATTTGAGCATATTTTTCAGGTTTGTTGATGCTGTTATGACCATTCCCAAAGGAACTCTGTTTCCCATGTGCGGTATGAATCTGGCATTCAACCGGGAACTGATTGGACCTGCAATGTACTTTGGACTTATGGGCGATGGTCAGCCTATTGGACGTTATGACGATATGTGGGCTGGCTGGTGCATAAAGGTATATTAGTCATATCTCCCTTTTCTGTCCCTTTTCTGTTAACAGTTCTGTTAACAATTCTTAAACCAACAAGTCAAGGACCTTCATGATCACTATCAATTGCTATTTCTATTACAGTTACTTAACTGACTACTTAGTTGGCTTTTGGTTTATCTCTTGTTTTCAGTTTTAGTTAATATATTCTTAACTTCATGATTATATCCTTCTTTTTATGATATATCCTTGTTTCAATCATGATCGACAACTGATTGATGAATTTGCAGGTTATCTGTGACCACTTGGGATATGGAGTGAAAACTGGACTGCCATACATATGGCACAGCAAAGCAAGCAACCCATTTGTTAATCTGAAAAAGGAGTACAAAGGTATCTTCTGGCAAGAAGAGATCATTCCATTTTTCCAAGCTGCAACCCTTTCAAAAGATTGCACCTCTGTTCAGAAATGCTACATTGAACTCTCCAAGCAAGTCAAGGAGAAACTTGGAACTATTGATCCCTATTTCGTCAAACTTGCTGACGCCATGGTCACTTGGGTTGAAGCTTGGGATGAGATTAATAACACCGTCTCTGAAGAGATAACTTCAACCAAAGCTTCTGAGGTTGCTGCTACCAAGTGAAACAACTTATAGTTGATGAGGAGGAGAGTAGTTTTCAAGCAGATTTAATTTTATCATTGTCATCATATTTGTTAGCATTATATTATAATTCTTGTTGATTTTGTTAGATTCCAGAACAATTTATTGATATTGATGTTATTAATATTATATTATTTCTGTTATTTATAAAAAAATATGATCCTTATTATATTTGTTACTGGTGGGTTCTGGGCTTTGCCCTTCTAGCCCCTAAATCCAAATTATTAAATGGGCTGGACTGGGTTCTGTCTATAGGTTTGGTAGGGAAAATTTTCCCCATACTGTCATTATTTCCATATCCTTACATTTTTTTAAAATATTCCAATTTTATCTTAAATTTTATTTATTAAAAAATTTTACTATTTAATTTTTACAAAGACCAAATAAATGTATTCATCTATTACAGAAGTGTGGAAAAATTCTCTCACGCCATCTAAGACACCATGTATGTAGGCATATATTGTCAAATAGCCGATTCTGTCTGTGTCATCATGTCATGAGTTTCAACTGAGTAAGCAAGTTTTAACAATCCAAAATATAGTACGTCCAGAAACGTTGGTTGGGATCGGACTCTGTTCTCTTACCAACGGTAAGAAAATATTTGTGTATCTAATATTATTACAACATTAATATCAATAAATAATAAATAAAGGGAAATACTAACCAGTCTTTATGGGGCATTTTCTAAGTGTTGAAATTTGAAATTATTAACTTTTTATAAATAATATTTTTCATATTTGATATCTTTAAAGAATAGAGCATTGGTTAACATAATCCATAAACAAATAAATATATAAATAAGAGTAAAAAGGGATATTTATAACAGAGTAGTATATCACTTACTCGAGTCCAATTTTTTTAAAGTAAAATTGCAAAAAAAAAAAAAAAAACAACTATCAGATGACTTATACTTAAGGCATCCGATGACTAAAAATTTGGAATCTTAGAGAACATAAATAAAAGATATTTGTTGAAGTGTTGGGTGCAAGTGTGAGTGCGACAGTTAGATGGAGAATGTTGAGTGCAAGTGTGAGTGGTTATAGTCTCATATTGCCTATGAATGAGTGAAATGTTGAATTTATAAGAGAGTTGACCTATTTACCTAACACCTTAGGATTTTAGGTTGAGATGTGGCGTCTCCCTCTCTTGTGGTCCTTGGAGCATTGGTCTCATTGGTGCTTCCGACTCTCCATGACTCCCTAACATGAAGAAAAATATGAGGACTAGAGAACTTGCAAGATTTTCTGGAGAATATAATATGGATCGCAGAATTTGATAGAAAGACTTCTGAGAATATAATACGAACTAGAGAACTTGGGTTGAAAGACTTTTGGGAGTATAATATGAATCAGAGAACTTAGTAAAAAACTTTCGGGAATTTTAGTGTACGAACTTTGTAGACTTTCCAGAGTTTATATGTTGAAAAATGCCTTAATATTTTATTTTATTTTTTATCGTTCTTCATTATGTCTATTTATTCTCCTTTATTTTTCATTATGAGAAAATTGATTGTAATTTATGGTATTCCATCTTTATAAATCAGTCTTGGGTTGAGGAATAAACATAACAACATTTTTACCATTCTTTTCAATATGGTATCAGAGCTTCGTGATGTCTTATCTCATCAAGGTCTTTATTGAGTTCAACGAGAAGCATGAAGACACGATTATTTTTTTGCCTCTTGAGAAATATAAGATTATCTTCATTATACCTCTAATTGTCATCATAATAGAGATCCAACTCTTGTCACAAGGTCAACAACTCATTGTAATAAGCAGTTACACACCTGTCACATTGTTTCACATGCCATAACTTTGATTTTCAACCAAACTTTTTTGAGGAGTTTTGAATATCAGAGTATATTTCTTTAACAACTTCTCACGCATCCTTGCAGAAGGCAAAAACATGTAAGGCTTACCTATTCCAATTTTGATTGAGCTTACCATCCACACAATAATCAAGGAGTTTTCAGATTTCCATTATTTGTAAAGAGGGTCACCTCCTATCGGTTCAGCTACTGCTCCTCTTAAAAAACCAAGCTTCCCTTTGCTATCTAATACTACGCAAACGGTTTGGGCCCATTCATTATTGTTATTCCCATCCATATTAAGAATATTGATATTGAGGGAGTTGTCGCGCCGCAAAAAAGCACTGAGTCGGCACCAAACTATATTTATTCTAAAGAAAAGGAAAAATATCGATAAAATCCCAAGAGTGAAAAAAAGTGGTCTGACTATCAAATTTGGGTTCAGGAGTCGGTTATGCAAGGAGAAGGTATCATCACCCCTCACATCTGTTATACTCACCAGAAACTATTTTGTTTGTTTTGCGTGTGTTGTTATCTAAAATTTTACTTGCTATGAATGGCTAATGATTTATTTAGAGGGAAAAATAAGTTTTTAATTAGTGAGCTTGTCAAGATTTAAGAATCTTGTGCCTACGTATATCCATAGTGCAATGATGAAATCAGAGCTTCGTAGTTCGGGGGTTGAAAAATTGTGTTTGTTGGTTGATTTTATTGGATGAAGTTAATGTTCGTGTTCTAGCAGTTAAACATTGCTTGTATGGTCGCACATGAGAGACTTACGTGTTTGCTTGTATTGCAGTAGAGCTGAAATAACGTGTCTTTTTTGAAAAAAGGTTTAAAGGATGCCCTAAGGCAAAAGTGAAGTTTGATTGCTTGAGATTGATTGTTAGGAGACATATAATAGATGGTCCCCCAAGACTGTGGTATTTAGATATACGGGAAACCAGGAAGAATACACCACAAATTCTTTTTTCATTCCTTAATTATGAAAATCACCTTGATTTGAATCGTACTAAAGTCTATGAATGGAGATAAATACTTTGGACAACTGGGTCAAGTGTCCCGTATTCAAAGATATTCAAAACAAAAATAGAAATCCACTCTCTCGTTCTTCTCCATTTATTAAGGCTCGTATTGTACGAATCACATCGTGTTTTTAGAGTATTTTATGGTTTATTTGCAAAAAGAATTTTAGTCTTAAGTTGATAATAAAAAGACAATTAAAATGTGATAAAAATGGAGAAACTAAGCTAATGTTGTCATGCAAAATAATACCTAAATTTTTCTAGGGTTTTTGTAGGGAGAATTTTATAGCAACATGCTTATTTTTGTTTATGACCTAAAAATACTATTTCTAATTTAATTAATCAAGTAAAACTACTTAATCAATTAAGTCAAAACATGTCATAAGGGAGCATATGATATTATAGGTCAATTTTTTGTGAATTTCTATCATACATATCAAGCACAAAATCACAACAATGGGCATTGAAAAATAAAAATAAAAATGTACTAAAAATAGGATAAAACCACTAATTTCTAAACACAAGTTAATCAAAATTAATCTACAACTAATCTAAAAATTAGACTAATCTTCCAATTAAACTCTCCACATGGCAATTTGTTTTTATTATTATTTCTAAAAAAAACTAAGAAGAAACATTAAAGAAAAAGCTAAAAATAAAATAGGGAAAAATAAAAATACCCCAGGGGTGCACGGCTGCAAAAGGGTTGTGATTGGGCTTGAAGCTAAAGCCCAATCATTGTTTTTTGTTTGTTTGCTCAAAGGACCAAAAATGAGTGGCCACCAATATTTGTCACAATGTCATTGGATCATTACATAATTTTTTCAGAATTTAAAAATATATAAAAGTATTTTTAAACATTTAAAACAATTCAAATAAAGTGAAAATTTATAAAAAATACCAAAACACAAAATTAAATTGTAAAAAAATAAAAATCAGAAAGAGAATAATCAAAAATATTTTTCATAATTTTTTTTCCAGTTTTTTGGACTAAAAATGAATTTTCTATGATTTTTTGAAATTTAAAACAATTAGATATAAAAATTAGAAAAGAAAATAAAACCAAAAAGATGTGGACCAATGGATGAGAGTCAAAACGCGGTAGTAATCAGATCCAAGGGATCTGACGCGCTGTACATATCATGGTCATTACTAAATATCACACTGGATCCAACATTTTTAAAATAAAATAACTTAAAATATGGCGCGTTGGATGGAGTCTGACTCACAAAAGTAATCAGATCCAAGGGTTCCTGAGGCATGCGTATTGTAAGGCAAACATATTGTATCCATTTCAAAAAAATAACGTGGCTTCATGTCATTGGTTGAAGACGGACATGTCATCATCTTCAACCTCCAGCCATCCCCAAATTGAATCTTCCAAATTGTAAAATTAGCAAACTAGACTGGTACCATTAGATTCGTCTCTTCAAGATGATTCTAATGGTACCATTGCGCCAAATTTATATAAATTATGCAAGGTTGTGTTTGAAAAAAAAAAATAGCGAGCACGAAAATCTGGGATATCTTGCTCAATTCTCAATGAAATTGCAAACTATAAAGAGCACAAGGATCAGAAGAACACAAGGAGTGGGTTAGTCTTTTATTTGAATCAATTTGGCCAAGAAATCTACCTGAACGAAGTAGTGAGAAATTGCTCTGAAACTAAACTTCCACGGATCAATATTGGTCAAAATTCTTGAAAGTAATCGTATGGTTAGCTTCAGAGAAGTTCAAAGAAGCTAACTGAATGAAGCTTTTGGTGTTTTAAGGTGAGAATGTAAGAAATCAGAATTTCAAATTCAGAGTTCGTGTGGGATCTGAACAGGGGTCAATTGGCTATCAAAAGCTTGAAAAAAAGAGTGAGGGATGATCCTTATTTATAGTTGATTATGATGCAAGACTCAAGCGTGTGAATTGGAGGCAAAATGAGTGAAATCATATGGACCTGCTAAATGTGAAAAGTGTGACTTCACATGGCTCAAAACGCAGCAAATTGGATGGTTTAAGGGTCATTTCTTGTTATGGTAAGTTCCTAAACATGATTAGACACGAAATTAATCTTTAAACAGGCTTGTAATTGGATTTAAACTAATTTTTAAATCTGACTGAACTTGGAATTTCCATTTCATGATGCCACTTTCATAACC